TGAAAGTCTTTTTACATTACTTTACTATTATCCTGCAAAGTTATTTTTTTTACTTCTTTTACTTGCATTTCTATACTTCTGCTTACTTTTCAACAATCTCAAACATCCTTTCTCTGGGTCGAACGTGCGTTCTTCCTGCTTATCCATTTTACATAAAAATTAGCATATGTCCTGGGATTAGTTTGATCGATCCCGTAAGTAAACCAAAAAACTTACCCATTTGGAGATCAACGGTTGTTTACCAAAAAACAACGGTAAACACAGGGTTACAAGGGATGTGCTGTCATTTGGAAGCTTGAATTCAATAGCAGTGGTTGCATTTGTTGTAATACACTTCTGCCTTAATCAGTAACTAAGGAAGAGACGTTTTTTAAGATGTCTTTCTCTATAACACACGCCCCTATTTATACAAATGACGATGTATTCTAGACCACACAAAGATGTCGGTGCAATCAGAATCTTTCAAAGATGTCGTTAAAATCTCAATCGTTAAAAAAAACTTGAATAAATAAACTATCGAAAATTTTAGTATAACTCAAATTTCCGATATTGCCTAATAAATTTAAAATTTCTAAAATACCAAAAATTTCAAATACACTACCGAAAATTTACATAAATAAGAAATTGTGCAGATATATAACAAAAATTTTACCTATATCAAAAATTTGAAAATCTCTATCAAAAATTGTCTGATAATTATTTATAGATAATTCTAAAATAATTAAAATAAATGGTGTCATGTTTAATGTAGGGGTTTCATGTTAAATCCGGGAGATACCTCGCCAGCCTTTATGAGCATTTAAGACACCAAAGGATGACGTGTGGGAGGGGATGAAACAAAAGGACAGGGAACGTGAGTTTAGTTGAGTTGAGTTGAGTTGGTTTGAAAAGAAACAAGTATGGAGGAAGGAGTGAGAAGATGGTTGGTAGACATATCAAAATGGGATCCACACCCCCATGAGTTCTCCTCTGCCCTCTCCCTCCTCCCTTCCCAACAACACTCCTCCGTTACCAGGTATCCTTCATCCCTTTCTCAATCCTTCAATCTCTTGTATCAATCAATCTTCATCGTGTATCTGTTTAACTCATCAGGTTTTTTTAAAACTCAAGACAAGAAACGTGCACTCATCAGCAGAATGCTTCAGTACGCACTTGTACATGATCTCATCAAAATCAATAACCCTAACTTCACCATTCAAACAACTTCCCAAGGCAAACCGTTCTTGGATTTACTGGATTATGATAAATTGGCTATTCCATTCCCAAATTTTAATTTCAATGTTTCTCATCATGGAGACTATGTCGCCATAGCATCTGAGCCTTTGTGTCTTGTGGGGATTGATATTGTCTCCTTTGATCTACCTCTTGGAGAAACAGTTCCAGACTTCATTCACTCTTTTTCATCATATTTTTCAACTCTGGAATGGGATAATATACTCAATGCTGCCACTTCCAATGATATATTAATTCAATTTTACAGGTACATATACTATGATAATATCTTGTTATCTACCATCAAAATAGTATGATTCGGGGCATTTGCTTTGCAGGTATTGGAGCCTGAAGGAAGCATATGTTAAAGCTATGGGGAGTGGACTTATTCAAGGGTTGGACAAAGTCGAGTTTTCTCACACTAACTGGGACTAATATATCAGCTACAATGGATGGCAAGTTAATGCCTTTGTGGAGATTTTGGTTGATTCAACTCGGAGAAAGACACTGCGTGAGTTTCTCGTTACTCATTAACTTTTATTTAGCGTATAACTTTTTCTTTTTATTGAATAAATTTTGCCTGCTGTGTCTTCGGCAAATATGTCTGTAATAGATTAGAAATTACTCTTGCCATATATCTTGCCTATATGGAAACTTAGTCCAAAATCTACTTTCATACTTTGTACCAACTCATAAACTAACTATTCCTAAAAGTTTTAGTTAGGTGAAAATAAAATGAATGGTTTTTTTTTCCTCTAGCCACTAAAATGACAACTTCTGAAGTTTCTGCATCTACTTTTAATCTTTTGTATCATAGACTGAGTTTTTTTCCCTCGTGTTTTACAGGTTGCGATTGCAAGAGGTCCTCCAAAATCAGCTGATATTAGTTACATATCAACATTGAAGAAAGTAGACTTTAGTGAAGACGAATATGATATAGGTCTTCATCTTCCAATGTAGACTTTGTGGAACTAAGTGTAGAACAGCTTGTTTTAATTTTACAGAAAGCATTTGATGGTGAAAATAGAGGTTAGATGTGATTGTAAATCTAAGAAGAATCGCTATATACACATGAATTCAAATATTATTGATGAAATTTCTGCAAAAAAAAAAAAATAGAAGCTGCTTTACAGATGAAATTTAGTGCATCAGATAGAAAGCATTCAAGTTATCTAGAACTTATTTTCATGATTATAACAAATTATGAATTATTAAGTAGTAGACAATTGAAGTTCTTCATTAAGAAAATAGAAGCCCTGATATATCAAACTCTTTTTTTATATGTCATTTTATGTATACAACAAATAAGTTGGTAGATGGTTGGTGTTGTGAATTTTTGCTTATGGCTTTGAAACATGCATTTCAGAATATAAAGGGTAACTTGTGCTGAGCAAAGTACTCTCTCCGATTCAAAATAACTATTGTTTAAATTTTCGTACACAAATTAAATAATTGCAATGGTGTTATCATTAGATATTACACTTTTATAAAAATAAGGTCTTATTAATATATTGGAAATTAACGTAGAGAATAAAAAATAAATGACACAATTGAAAAAATAATAACTATTACTACGTTAAAAAATAAAATGACAGTTATTTTAAATAAAATTATTTATTAAAACAACCGTTTTTTGAAACGAAGGATGTATAACTGTGGAGTAAACTAGACACACCGGAAAATAATGCACGTATTCAAATCTGTTTTTATAGATAAATCTTTTTTATAATCAACTTAAGAAGGTGAAAAAAATTAAAATATTTTAAATCTTGCTTTACTGCTACTACATCTTTTCTCTTATGTATTGTTACCAATATTTTAAAAACCAGACTGTAGATCGAATTGCAAGTTTTTTGGTTTAAGATTCAATCGGTTAAAATTATGGTTTATTGAATAAACTAATAATATAAAATTAAAATTTATAGATAAATCATGTTCACAAATTAACAAATAAATATTTTAAAAATTTATTATAAATTTAATATTATGAGATTAATAATAGATTTTAAAGAAATATTTATACAATATAATAGTATGTTTAAAGAAATAAAATTATAATATATATTATAATTTAGAAATTATATTTATCTTTTGTGTTAAAGAAGAGTTTCTTTTTATGAAAAGAAAATATTTTTAAGTATTAATGTTAATATTATAATTATTTTTATTTTTTTAATAAAAAATATTAAAATTAAGTAATAATACACATTTCTTTGAACAACTCGGTTTTATAAAATTGAATTTGATTCTTTAGTTCAAATAGTTTTGAGCCTTCAATTCGATTTTTTTTAGTTTTATTCTGATTTTGATCACCCAGATCAAATCGGAGTTATTTCCGATTTCTGGTCCAACCAGTTGAATCAGACAGTTTAGTCTAATTTTTAAAACATTAATTGTTACCACATATGCAATGGACTAGTTTTATCTCTGCAATATTTTTTTCACTCTTTAATTCTACCGCATCTTTTTTTTTTCCACGGTTACGAATTGGGGTGTTCAAAATTGAACTAGTCCAATAGAAAATTGTTAACCTAACTAAACTAAATTAAAAACTGTATTTGATTTAGATATGTTTGAATCATTTTTTAACAAAACCACAATTCAATTTAATTTGAAGTTTGTATTTTATAAATCAAACTAAATCAAACCAAATCACATTATGTTATAAAATCTTACAAATAATTATATATTTTTAATTCTTTAGAGAAATCAACAAGTAATATATATATATATATATATATATATATATATATATATATATATATATATATATATATATATATATATATTATATATATATATAATATATATATATATATATATATATATATATATATATATATATATATATATATATATATATATATATATATATATATATATATATAAGGATAAAATTATTAAAAAAAATTAATTTACATCAATTTTATTTCTCTTAATATATAAAATATTCATAATAAATTTTTTTATAGTGCTATTATGATAGTATAGTCACATATATGTATTTTGTTTATTACTATATAATATAGTATTTTAAAGTTATTTAAAAATGAAATTTTATTTATTTATCTTTTAGACATAAGATAAAATTATAAGATGGAAATATTTATGTATGAAACTATAAATTTATTTTGAAAATTAACTTATTTTATGATAATATAGGAATGAAATACAAAATTATGTTGTCCTTTATATGTGATGGCTTAATACATTTTTTTGTAAAAAAACCGAATCCATCAAACTAATTCAAATTATATTAATTTTGTTTGATTTTATTTCTAAAAGTTAACCGAACCAAATCAAACTGCACTCTTTTTTTTCTTCAATTAAAATAATTTTAAAGTAAAAACTGCCTTGAACCGTACCACTAACCCTCCTAGTTCCGACCTCTTCCCCCAATCATTATTCTCTTCGCATTTCCAACCATACTCAATGAAATACATGAAGATTAAGCTCGGAAAGTATAAATATACCATCATAATTTCATCCAATGATATCAATTTTCTTCCTTTGAGTCATGTTTTGTATAATTTTTAATGAAAGATGAATAAAACATGTTTAAACAAGTATTCATAAATAGGCACTTATTAACCTATATATATATATATATATATATATATATATATATATATATATATATATATATATATATATATATATATATATATATATATATATATATATATATATATATATATATATATATATATATATATATATATATATATATATATATAACCAATTTAGTATACTATTAATCAACTTTCTTTACTATTAATTGATTTCATATATTTAGTCATTATTGTTTGCTAATTATGTTCTGAAGTATATCGATAATTTTTTTCACATCATTAATCAAGTTTATTTACTTTTAATCAATTTTATATATTTATTCATTATAATACTTCTTAATATAAATTTGGTTAATAATGTGAATCAAGTTGGTCAATACAATTTAAAAAATAGTTAATGAAAAAACATGAATAAATATAGGTGTTAAAAAAGTTGATCAATATACCTCAGAACAAGCTTAAAGAATAATCATAAATAAATATATAAAATCAATTAACAATAAAAAAAAGTAGATTAATTGTTTGTATTAAATTGGTTAATTATGTATGTATTTGTTAATAAATGCATATACATGAGTACTTGCTTAATAGGTTGGACCAAACTAAGCTTTGTCAAGCTTGAGTTTGTCCTGCTAAAAATTTCAAAGTCTGGTCTGTGACTTATCAAAGGCTTGTTTTTAAACCTGAGTTTGACCTTTCTAAAAGTCGGATTGATCTATTAGACTACATAAAAGTCTATTTTATTTGAATATTTTCAAATAAGCAATTCAACTAATAATAAAATAGACTAACAAATTAAAAAGATTAATTAAACTATATGTTTATTTGCATTGACTTATTCAAATTTACATATTAACATATATTTTTTGATATTATTTATTTGAGAGAACTTATGAAAATAACTTATGACATTTTTCATAAATTTTTTCAACGTATTTTCATAAGTCCTTCTAGACATATAAACTTTATTTTTGTATTTTTATTTAAAATACAAACACAATATAATAATAAAAAAAGTATTCATTTTTATTTAAATAGGTCGGTCTGATAGACGCTAAAAAGCTTTTTTTGCAGCCTGTAGTATATCATTTTTAACTAAATAGACTAATAAAAAAATCTAAGTCTTCTCTATTTAAAAAAAGAGTTTGCTCTAACCTGAGCCTATGTAGACTAGTATGTAAATCCCTATTATTGGCCTAGCCTACTTTCACCCATGTATAGCATTCTATATTCATGTTTCATTATAAACAATACAAAATGATAATACAAAATACAAAATATGATGGTATCTTAAAACTTATTAAGCTTAATCTTCATATTCATTTCAAATAAATTTCTTTTTTCTTTACATAATTAATAATTTTATGTATTTTAATTGAGTATGATTGGAGTTGCAAAGAGAATAATGATAGAAGAAGAGATGAGATAATGCCGAGAGAAGGAGAAAATGTCATAAAAGTGGAAGAAGAGGATGTAGTAGCACCAAAAGAAAAAATTGCAGAGATAAACCTAACCCACTGCATATGTGGTAACAGTAAAGAAAGAAAAAAGATGTGGTAACACTAATAGCATCTCCAATAGGAGAACTTATTTATTTTCGGTTGCTTGAATTATTGTGTTGGATTGGGACCAATTGTCGCATTACATTTTAGCAACACCTAAGCAATCTAAATCAATTTTACTCTAATGATAATTTAAATAAACAATTTATATATAGTCTAATAAACAATTTTACTCTAAAGAAGTCAAGAAACTCAAATCTCAAATGTAATTTGGAAATTTTACCAAGTCCAATGCCTCCCAAATTTTGTTCAATAGGTTTAAAATGCTAGGAACACATTCTCTCTTCTTCAACAGGAAGGGGTATTGTATCATAGTGAAGGCAACGACATGCAATGTGCCTTGTTCAAACCAAATAACAACAGAATTGATACTCGGTGCTTTTCAAAAAAAATAAAAAATTCAAACTGAGTAAGACAGTATGGATGATGTTGGTGACTCCGGTCAAGGGCACACATCAACTAACTGAGTTTCTCGCCTAGTGATAAAAGCATGTCCAAGACCCAAGAACTAAATGTCGAACAAGAGTTGCAAATTTTCCAGCAAGGCAAGAGAAGTCATACAAGGTTCTCAATTTGGCTTCAGTGAGATGAAGTTTAGCACCGTTTTAAATAGAAGGAAGATTTATTTCCATAAATGTACAACATACATGAAAAATGGAATGAATAATTCTTTTACACATAAAGGTCTGCAATTATCGCCACTCTACCTGTAAGGTGGCACTCCAATCATTGGTTCCAAGGGAGCCAACTGATGCCGAAGAAACTTGTAAACGGACTCGGTTGTCACGGAAGCCACTCGAACAATAAGACCAATTTTCTGCACACAAAATGCAGTTGCAGCCAACAATATTCTTCATAAGTAACCAATCATAGCATCATTCATTAAGCTGCGAGAAAAAAAAGTGCTAAAGATATATATATATATTGCAGGCAGTCCAGTTTTGCTTTGTTTATCTACTCTTCATTTGTGAGAGATAGACGCAAGTGATAGATTAGTGGAATCTATTATGGGTCTCAGTATGGATCTCATCATGGGTATCACTATTACTTGTGTCTATCTCTCAAATGGACATTAAATGGAGGGTAACCCATTTAATGGAGCAAATCCAAATTCATTGCAGGCGTATTGAAGGGTAACCCGACACTTACCACTAACCCAATCCGATTAAGAATCTTTGGAATTTACCGATAAGTAGAATTCTAAAATAGCACAAATATGACCGTTAAGAATCTCACATCAGACAATATATAGTCTAAACATGTGCTTATAAGTGGGGACAACTTTCACGCTACAAGCCGGTTTTGTAGGGATGAGTTAGGTCCAACTACAACTCTTGACATGATATCAGATTCTAGTTTAAGATCCAGTGCGCCACCTGCTATCACATCGGAAAATATATGGCATGAACATGTATTTATAAGTGAGGGAAATCCTCACCTTACAAATTGGTTTTGTAGGGATGAGTTAGACTTACTAATAACCATAAGTTGTAAATAGTAAACAAAATATGTCAAAAATAAAAACAATAACCCGGATATATGTCAAAAATAAAAAAAATAACCCGGATACTAATTTATAATTTACCTTAGGACCAAACACACTGCAAGAAGCAACCAAGGTTGGTTTTGTCATGAAAAAGTCAGCCTTGCTTTTTTGGTTACTCAATGCAGCTGAAGGATTCTGTAATTGCTCAGTCATAATTCTTTTCACGTTATCTTGCACGATATTCTGGATATACTGCATCTTTGGCCTAAAATTATAAAGCATGTCATACATAACAGTAACACATTAATCCAGAATAAAGATGGCAATACAAACCACTCACCCTAGGAGCACGATCATTGCAATTACTTGGTAGTCCAGCATGTGTTCCTTTACAAGACCAAATTTGTCTTTCTCTAGTAACATCTGTTTGTGACAAGAAGCCAAATTATGCAGAAAAATTTGAGCAAGAGGACATGTTGTCAATGTAAGAGCACCTTATGCAGAAAAATTTGAGTGCTCTCATTTTAACTAACACCACAATGTAATTTCAGGTAAGAAATTGGCACAATGCCCTGCATTGAAGAAAAAAATACAAAAGTGACAGGCTGCTAGATTTGAAGGTCGTCATTTCCGCCCCTAACAAGATTCCACATTCTTGCACAGGGTCTGAATGTTCTGCCTATCTTCTTCGTTGAATTACAAGAACGTGTTAGGAGCTAAAGTGAGAGGTGTCATGATGGTTAAAATATCTGTCATTAACAATGGTTGCGTACAGACCATGCTTTTCATTATATAGTCTAAAGTTCGTGATTTTTAAACTAGAATAGTTATTTTCCTGAATTTAATAATATCTGCATCAGTGGTGGTCCTAAATGAGATTAATTAATAAACCCACAAAAGATAATGTCGTAATCATAAGGTTAAAGTATAATAGGTTTAAGTTTGAGTTGGATGTGAGTTAAGTAAAATTTTAGATTATAACATAATGCGGTTTGATTCGGTTTGCAAAATACAAACCGCAAACCGAACCGAACCATGCAGTTTTGTTAAAAAATGACCCAAAGACATCCGAACTAAATGCGATTTTTTTGCGTTTTTGGTTTGGTTTTGAACACCCCTAGTACAAACCATGCTTTTCATTATACAGTCTAAAGTACGTGATTTTTAAACTAGAATAGTTATTTTCCTGAATTTAATAATATCTGCATCACTGGTAGTCCTAAACGAGATTAATTAATAAACCCATAAAAGATAATGTCGTCATTATTTTTCAGTCATATAAGGTCTAAGTCTTTTTTTCCATCTTAAAGATAAATGGTTGGCCCTGAAAGGAAAATGTGAGAGGGAACAGTATGCATGCATAACAAATGCATCCATTTACTAAGATACTCCGAAAATTGACATCACAGAATACAAGAAATTTGCGAGGGGAAGCTAAGAAATAACATAACAAGGAAAACAAGGCTTAAGTAGAGAATAAGATAATTTTAACAAAGTATACATCCTCCAAGCTCAAACAATTTGAAAGTGCAATCGGTAACAAGCATAACCAAGGACAACATAAAAACACTATTACCGTATCCAGAAACAAAGGTTGACCATCATCAAAGAATATATTATTTGTGCTTCTATAAAGATCAAAATCCCATTTTTCTCCACTTTCATGACGCCCACTAGTAATCCAATCAACAATGACCAAATTTGAGTCCGAAGACAAGGTGAAGACTTGTTTCTGATAATATCTTGCAGTGGAAAAACATGTCACTGGATCTGGAATGATGGCTAAAAGTGCATTGCTTCCTACTCTAGCCTACTACACCGATGAATTTAACTGTTGTCAGTTGTCACACGGAACTGATAAAGCCAGACAGTCAAATCTGAATTTTAATTATTAATTGGAATTTAAATGAAACAAATAACTATAATATCCTACCAAACCCTAACCAGGTGATGAATTTTTCTTGAAACATAAGTGTATCATGTATAAAAAATAATATTGATGTAAAATGACTAGTCAAGTAAATAATGCAAGAAACTCAAGAGAAAGAAAGGGTTTTTACCTCTAATATTTGATGAGAACACTTAGATCCAACCGATTTATAGACCTACAAAGAAATTACAATATTATGAATAACTTAAAGATAGAGTGAGCTAAACACCAAAATTGACCCTGAGCATAAAGAAGTAATCATAAGTGGTGAAAATAGATGACCTTAGTAGAACCTTGGGTAGTTAACACCATGGTGCAAGCATCTCCAACAGAAAACTTGCATAAAATGCGATCACCCTGCACCTGAGATATTGAAACCACAAGTAGAAAGGGGAAAGCCAGAAAAGAATAAAGAGATAATAAAAGTTACCGATACAATTCCACCTCCATAATTGAGAACATAAACCCACACTGCATCGATATTGGAAGGACCAACCTGATTGATTAAGGACTAGGGTTCAAACCTAGTGAATGATAGTGATAATTATTAAGATTGCATTGTCAAAAATGAAAAGAACCTTTTTGGGTGAGATGAATTTGAGGGGATATCTTGATAAGCAGGTTGTGATAGAAGATCTGCCTCCCACTTTTTCAACAACAACTGAGTTCTCTTTCTCTTCCTCGCCATTACTCATTTTTGCTTCTACTGCCAAAAATATGGAGTAACGGCAAATAGGGGAATAGGAAGGATCCAGAAGAAGCGAAAAAGTGTTAACTATTTATTGGTTTGATTTAGTATGATTTTCAATATTTTAATAGAATTCAAAATAAGTTGACTATCAAATATAAAAGTTTATACATGATATCATAAATTTGGAAAAGAATTTGAAAGCTTAAAAATAGAACACATCAAAACACATATCAATTAATATGTTTCACACCTTAAACATACATCAAAACTATTTTGTAACAAGAGTAGAAAGAATTTTTTGAAGAAGAAGAAGAAAAAGAAGGTAAAAACAAAATATAAAAATTAACGAAGAGAACTTGAATAAGAAGAATGCAACTATAATATATCAGAATCAACAGTGTAGAGAGAAACAATTATGGCGGGCAACAAAAGCAGTAGTTTAGTGAAAACAATTTTTTGTGATTTATAATTTTTAATTTCTATGTTTTGGAGTTTAGTTCTAGATGTGTATTTTATTGGAAGAAAGGAAGTGCAAAAAATATGGAGAATGGTTGGACCGATATAAAACTTGAACATAATGATGGGTAGAATAAAATATTTTGAGCGTAATTTTATCTATTGGTTTGATTCATCGATTTAGCAGTTCTTAAAAACTAAAATCGAGAACCGAACCAAACCACATTGGTTTTCATTAGTTTGGTTCAATTTTTAATCAAACCAGAAATAATCGATTTTATTTTGGTTTGGTTTGGTTTAAATTGTCAGTTTAATTGGGTTTTTTTCTGATTCGCTTACACCCACCTTTAACAACTCATTTAAAAGTTATGTTTTTTAGTACCTATATGTCACTTTTCTTTAATTTTTTATCCCTCCCATTTTTGTGTATCTCGCGAATAGATAATTTGACGTGGCCAAGAAAAGGTGATGTCACGTTATTCAATGAGTTAACCAAATATTTTTAATTTTCATATTATTTCTAAAATAATGCTTTAAATAATTAAAGTAATTAAAATATTTTTTAAATACTTAAATCAATTAAAATCATAAATAAATCAACTAAAATCCAAAATCAAAATCCTTACCCTAACTCTCTGAACCCTATAAATGAAGAATTGTTCATTTGAAGCCTACGAACTCTAAATTTAATAAACCCATAAACCATTATCGTGTCGCAATTATTGTCCCTAATTCTTATTTCTCTCGTTTCTAAACTTTGTTTTATATTCTCATTAATAATGTCGGAGTTTTTGCAAGCTACTAGTCAAACGAGATCTTCCTCTACCCGATACGAGTGTATAAGTGGTTTTGATGCATCATTGATGACATCATGGACAGATGCAAACACATGTTATCATTTTTACGAATGTGGGATGTATTAGGTATTAATGTTTTATAGTTTTTCCATTCAAAGTTAAATGTCAGTGTTTCAGAAATATTCATACCTTGTATTTCATTTGTATTCATTATAGATTCATAGACACAAAAGATGCAGTCACTTTGTTTGGTGTTGTACCCTAAAATTTTCCCTCCCATTTTTCAAAGATACCTCCTCATGCTCCTAGGGTTTTCAATTGCTCAAGAATACTCAAGGATTTGAGCAGACAAACCCTCCTCCTAAGCAGTTGATCTACAACTAGGATTTCACTTTTCTCAAAGGAAATTGAGCTTATAATGTCTCAAGTGGATTCCATGATTCCTCATATGCTTCAAGGTACCCTCATGACAAGTTTCAAGCCTTGCATCACAAGTTTGCTCAGTCAATTGCTCAGATGATTGAAAATTAACTATATTGGATAAAAAGTCAATTGTGGTCAACTTACAGTGAAACTTCAAGATTTTTTATCAACATCAACATTTTGAAGTCACATTAATCATTTTATCAAATTTCGATCATGATTCATCAAGAAAATTTAAGATTCATCAAAAGTCAAAAGTTACTAAATTAGGGTTTTTTTAAGGAGAAGTCAACTGAACTTTGACCAAGCACAACTTTTGTATACTTTATCAGAAATTTCTCAACCAAAGCCCATTTTGATGGGATTTCAATTCTCTACAACTTTGTGTATCTAAGCTCAAGTCCGAAAAATGCTTCATTTGAGAGATATGAGTCAAAACATTACATGTCATTTTGAAAGTCAACAAAAAGACACTTTTTATCAGAGCAATTTACATTAAGATAAAGTCTTCAAATGAAAAAATGACAAACATGAAGATTGTAGGGGACATATAGAGGTTTCCAAAAAGTCTAAGATCCCTTCACATAATAAAAATTGAGTGAGATGTGATTTGTGCAAGTTGGATAATTTTGAGAAAATGCATGAAATCCAAATTGAGCAAACTTAAAATTTTGGGCTAATGAGCTTATCTCTTAGAGTCCAAATGTGTTCTTGATCTCATAATGGACCTCTAAATCCATTCATAGACCATTTCAATTTTTATTTCATTTATTTTTATTTTTATTCATTTAAATTAAAAATTAAATCAAATAAATATTAAGTGGGGGTGTAAGGCATAAAAGGCTTTTGATTCAAATATTTTGGAGGCCCAAAGGCATGCTATAAATTGTGTGAACTTATTATCAACACAAATCTTCATGTTTTGTCTTATTCCAATCTTATTTTCAAACAAAATCAAAGTTTGTTTTACACGAGGTCCAATCCCATGTCTTGACCTAATTGTCTCTTATAAATACCCTTGATGTTCAAACAAGAAGGGAGGACGAAAAAAGGCTGCAAGAACATTCTCAAAAAATATCAACTTTTGTCAAAAATTAGGGCAAACTTGAAATCTAATTTTCAGCCATCCTCGAGGGAAAACAACCATCCAAATCAACTCCTGAGGTGTTATAAAGTAAGTCTTGATCATTCTTGATGATCAAAAGGGCCTGAAACAGACATCCCATACATCGCCGGTCTCATGTTTTTTGTTTAAATTCGTATTTTTATTTTTACAATGCTTTGATGTAAACTATTGATTTCATTCTGTTTCTAAGACAAAACAATGCAGGTTTGACGCCTTGCATGAGTCCCATGATGCCAGAATCGTGTATCACCATGTTTGAACTGATTTGCAATATTTTGTTCGTATCTCATTATGCAGGATGATTTAGCCAAAACTAAGGCCACAAATGGATTCATAATGGTCGATTTAGGGGGGTGGGGTTCTTTTCACTATCTAATGTTTATTAATTTCACAAGTGAAAGAAATAGCCTCGCCGGAGAAGACGACCGGAGCTAGGGCTCCGGCGCCTCTCTGGTATATCCAGTTTTATATTATATTTAATTGTTTCCATTATGTACACGGATGAGAGTGTAGCGCAGCTGGTTAAGGCGAAGTCGTATAACGTATAGGGCATGGGTTTGATCCCTGGCTTTTGTAATGTTTTTTTGCCATTTTTCCAATTTATGCAGGTTTCATATATTATCATCCGGTCATGTTTCCTAACACCAACGAGCGTCTGGCTCAGTGGCAAGCAAGGCATGAGAAGGCTAGGAGGGCGTGGGTTCAATACCCACCCCCATGCAATTTTTTCCTTTTTCTTGGTTTAACCTAATTTCATTGATTTCTCTTTCCCTAGCCCTATTTTCTTTCAATTAATTAATCATCCAATTAACCTAACTTTTCTTAATACTTACAAACTAGGTTTAGGGTTTTAATTAAAATTTAATTTTCTTGTTTTAATTAATTAATTAATTAACTTTTTTTCTTATATAGTAAAATTAATTAGAATTTTAGGTTTTGATTAATTATCAACTTAAATCATTTTCACAAAAAAAACCACAAAAACATTTCAACATTTTCTTTTCATTTATTTGCATTCATAGATCAAGTGTATAGGTTACGACTATCGATTGTAATAACTTAGATTTAATTTCCGTTTTTCTTTCTATTTTATAACTGCTCACAGTATATACTTATGTACCTCCCTCGAAGCCATGTAATAACTTAGGTTTAAATTCCTGTACTTTACCTTCCGCACTTATATTTTTATTCAATTGCTAGTAAATAGGGTTTGTATGGCAAGACTAAAATCAACTGATAGAAAATCCTAATTCAAGATAAATATAACTGAATCGAACACACTTTTCACACTCACACCTCTAGGATAACCTCTCTTCGTTGTCTTTAAATAAATGGTCATGTCCCTCAAAAGTATGGATACTTTAACAAAAGACCCTCGAGTAAAGGTCATAGTCCCTCGATGACCCTTCGATGTTGCCTACGAAAAATGATCTAGTCCCTCTGATACAATTGCTAAAGTATCTTTACGTGTTGCCTTCTATGACCATACGATGATCCTACGCATGTCCCTTCACATCCAATAGATATGGTTACCTACCAACTAATGGTATGGGTAGTACTATCTCTAAAGAAGAAGGAAAATAATAAGAAAGACATTAGTGGGTAAGAAACTCTTAATTTCTTGCTCACAACTTTTCTCAAAAACTTTTTTTCACACTAGACTTTCAAACAAATATTTTCAAAAATAACACTTTGTATACATTCTTGAGGACTGATACAAGAATTATTACAAAGTCAGTATTACATTGGTGATTTCAAAATATTTTCAAACAAATCACACACACAAAGCAAGTTTTCAAAAGTGAGTTAAGCAATTAAGAGCCTGTAGATAACTACGGATGAAAAGGGTGCTAATACCTTCCCTTTTCATAACTTACCCCCCGAATCCAAAATTTATCAAGGTCTTTCCTATTCTTTTCACCCTTTCCTTGTTGGATAAAAGAAAAGTTGGTGGCGACTCTAGCTATCCGCACATTTTGGATAAAACCAAAAAAAGTCAGTTCTTCCACCGTATTACAGAACCGGTGACTTTGTTGGGGACTAATACTTAAAAGAGGGGTTACCTTAGGGTTAGATCACTTTATTTGCTTTACTTGGTTGTCTTGCTTGCTTTACTTTAAGGGTTTTTTGGTTTTATTTACTTGTAAGATCCTACACCCAGATCTAGGGATGCCTTAGGTAAATAGCAATAAATCATGTAAA